AACAGAAAAACTCCAAAACCAGACCCCAACGAGAGAGTGCTGATCTATAATTGGTGTGAGAGCTAGACACAATCAACTCAGGATTGAATAAGGACTGGGAATGGCTGAGCCATTACAAACATTGAATCTATTTCCCCTTGTAAGTATTCTCACACTTCTTATCAAACTGTCTGTACTGGGCTAGCTTGATTATCACTTCAAAAGTCTTTTTTCTCTTACTTAATTGGCCTCTCAGAGTTGGTAAGACAACTCCCACCTGTTTATGATCTCTGTATGTGTGCATATATATCTCCTCAATATTTATTCCACTCTGTATGCATCCGAAGAAGTGGGCTGTAGTCCACGAAAGCTTATGCTCTAATAAATTTGTTAGTCTCTAAGGTGCCACAAGTACCCCTGTTCTTTTTATTAAATTTAAGATTGAGTAGAACTCACTCTCTCTTGCTTACTCCAAATGCTCATTTGAGGACATTCATTCTTTGCTCTGGACTTTTTTAATAGGCATCAGGTCAGGAAATAAAACCAGGAACTTGTTACCTTTGTAAGCGTATGACACAACATGCAGCCCCGGCAGTCTTCAGGATTCTCTTTTTGTCAAACAGACAGCAAACCTAATAATTCCTTTTGTTGTGGATTGAGTTACACCTCATTGAAACTGGGGGGTAAAACAACCACCTTTCATTCCAGATCATTGTGAAAAACAATTAAGCTCCTTCATGGAACCAGATCGCTGAAACAATAGGAGCACCACCCAAAACACAGGCAACATGGCAGGGCCTGAGTAGAAGATGAACCACATGGCCCAAGGTGTTTCTCTGGGGACTGATAAAGTAAATGCAGGGGCTAGCTATTGGGGGAACTGTATGTCTCTGAGTGTGAAAAAGGATCACAAAGAAGGAAGGAGCAGAAAGCCAAGGAGATAGCCAGAGTAAGCACTGTGGGAGGTAGCAGTCTTGAGGGAAAGCCTGGATAATGCTTTTTGGGTACAGTGGAAGCTGGAAGAAGCTTGGAACTTAGAGCAAAGAAACTTTATTTTGTTTGATCCTAGTGGATGCAGGGAAATAGGACTCTCTCTCTTTCTGTATATACACATACACTTTATATATATATATATACACACACACAGAGAAATACAGAGAGAATAAATAGGATTCCATCAAAGAAATATGTCCATCATCAACGTCTTGTCCTAATGGAAACAACTCACTAAGCATTCATGGCCCGCCATACAATTTCTATTCTCCGATGTGGCCCTTGGGCCAAAAAGTTTGCGCACCCCTGGTTTAGAGAATGTCAAATTATTCCAGTAATTTAAAAGCAGCAAGTTGTCTTTCCTATGCTTAGGCATATAAACAGATATATGTTTTAATGATTAAACCAGTTTTTTTTTAAACTACTGAACTTCACTCAGACTAAAGGTAGATGTAATACTTGGTAACTATTATAATTAGAAAAGGACAATTTGTATATAAATACACAAGCTTACCTATACAGTCAAGTTTGGGTGTCCATTCCCCATATGTACAAGTTGATTGTATAAAGTTTGTGCCATCTGTTTTACATTTGTAAGTTATAGATGCTTTGTGCCTATAGAGCCTTTTCTTGATGGGAGTTTGTACAATGGCTATATTCTCAAAATTCTCTGGAAGTCCACATGTAGCAGGTTGATCTAAATAAAATCCAACACAAAAATTAAAATATGCTATAAATCCTAGGATGTGTCTAGTAAATATCCATTTAAAGGCAGATATTCAATATGCAAATACATGTCCATGTGAGAATGTTGTGTCTACTATTGTTATAAGTAATCTCTAAAGTTACCAGAAGAGAAAGAGATCAAAGAAAAAAAATCAAAAATGTTTTTAGTTTGTGTACATCGTAAAGTTTTCAAAGATGCTGAGCTGCCTTTACGCTGAAAGGTGGGGTCAAGAAAACCCTGTTGAAAGCCACTGATGCTTTTATGCACATGCTTAACTTTGCACACACTATGCATATAGTATAGTATGTAAAGAATGGTGCTAAATAGCTATATAAACTGTATCTGCCTAAATATTGATGAATAATCTCTATTCAACCTTAAATGAAGTTGTTACTTTAATGCTTAAAGTATTATCTAAATAGTTTACCAGCACACGAAGGCAAAGATATCCATTTTCCGCTAAGACACTTCACTGTCTTTGACCCAACCATTACATAGGTTTTTTCACATTCATAAGCCACTGTATCTCCATGAATGTACTGGTCATTGTTTATATTGACAGCTCCCCCTTTGGCAATAGGGGGTGGTAGTCCACAGGTTTTTTCCTCTTCTGTGGAAAAGAGCATAAATATTCCACATTATATTCTTGCCACATATAAAACACATGATCAAAGAGCCTTACTTAAAATAATTATTTAGGGCCTGACCTTGCTCTCATTAAAGTTAGAAGTGAAACTCTGATTGACTTAAATGGGTGCAGAACTAGGCCCTTAGTTTGTAATAACATTTGCCATCCTTCCAAACTCCTCTCCCTCATTTCTCTATGACTAGGACAACTCCTCAATCCAGTTATCTTCCAGGACTGTATTCAGCTTTTCTCTCCTCACAGTTTTGTAAGGATTGTCCCTTATTTCTCTCTATTTCCACATACAAAATATCATTAATTTAGCAATGCTCAATTTATATTCCCTCACAAGAATGAAAACACTAAAATGCAAGGAAATCTTAAATCAAATCAGTACTCACATTCAACACAATACCACGCTCCAAATTGCCAGTAGTTCACTACTATCATGACATTAAACTACACCCCCCCAATACTCACTTTATATTTAAAGAAAATAAAATCCTGCCACCTTCAATGCACACATCCAAGAAATGAAAATCACACAACTGCCATGTTGACAACTGCAAGCTCCCTGACCCCCACATTTTTCACTTTCCCCTTTCTAATTTGCAGCCTCTGCTCTCCTGCTGCTGCGACCGTGTCACCCCACTGTACCTGTTTAAAGCCTTTCCTTTATTGCTCTTTTTCTGCATTATATTGAAACTCCCTATAAATTATAAGACTGAGAATAACTTCTTCCCTGGCTATGACATTTCCTTATACTGCTCCATCCCAGATCTCTTTGCTAACCACTCTATTTTATATTCCACTCTTGGCTTTGTATTCATTTCACGTTGCCCCTACAAATAGAATTGCTTCCCACTGATTGGGCAGCATGCAGCTTTTCCTCCCTTCATTAAACGTCCTTTTCTACACTTCCTTGTCTTTCACTTGCTATCGAAATATTTTACTCGTGTTTTAGTTCTCTCATAACTGCTTGGGGCAGGGACCTTGTTATGTGCACTTATGGTGCTCCATAAATAATAATAAACAACATTCAGCAGCATGTTAGGATGATGGTGAAATAGTCAACTGACTTGTTATCCAATGGTATTCATCAAAAGTTCTCCTTACATGTAATTAAGGCAAAGAAAATAGTATCTAGGAAACAAATTCAGCTTACACTGTGCTAAAATGAGGCTAGCAGCTACACCCCTTTCCTTATATTTTTCATAGCTCAGTATGGAAACCTAACCAATGATGATTTCAACAGGACAAAGCTCAGATCACTAGACTTGCCAAGACAATCATAGAACCTCTAGTAGGTCTGTTAACACTTTAGATTTTGTTTATCTATTATTTTTTAGGTCATACCATCCTTTTATTCCACAAAACATCTGTAATTATTTCCTATAAATGAACATTTTCATGTCAGATAAAACCAAAAAATTCTGATTGATTTCTAAATATGCTGCAACTACAAGCAAATATTATACTTGTGTGCATTTATTTTAATTTTTTTAAACTATATTAGTTAATATGCATACTAAGGGATGCTCTCCAGCATTAGGTAAATTATCAGTGTGGACTCTCAGAATTGAAATTTCAGTGCTTTTGTTTAGCCAGGATTCCAGACTCTGCAAATTACAGTTAGTCATTGGAAGTATTTTAGATGTCAATCAATAAAAACACTATCACCCATCTGATTCCATATCAGGGAGGACTGTGGTACAGAAACTATGTACACTGGCCAGTATGTTACATTTAAGTACGTATAGTTTGGATTTGAAAAATCTCTAAAAGTGTAAAATAGAAAAGTATTAATCTATATTAATCCTAAGAGTGTGAAAAACACAGTTTACCTGTGCAAGAAGGTAAAGATGTCCATTCCCCGTCAATACATTCTATTTTTCTTGATCCAATAATTTTAAAACCGAGGTCACAGTCATATTCCACTGAGTCGCCATGTTCATATTCCTCATGAAGTTCACTGATAATATTCCCATTGGCAATGCTGGGTGGTGGCCCACAAGCTTTGGTTTCCTCTAATACAAAGAGATTATATCTAGATAGTTGTTCCAATTAAAAATAGACTACAATAAAAATGGAAAAACCCAAATTCACTGCTTCAAGTGGAGAAAGATGGCACAGCTGACTATGAATTAATTAACCTTATCTCTGGAGATTTGGATTCAAATCCTACTTTAGGTCACAAGTGGAAATGAGTGCCCTGAGTTCAACCTACTACCACTTCACACAACTGGCAGTTTCACTATAATCAAAATGGACGGAAACAAATTCACAGTTTCAAATGGGAAATTAAGGCACAGTGGGTTAGTAAGTGAATTGGCATGAGGATAGATGGGGTAGTTCACCTTGGGATAGACACTAGCATCCAGAAAGAGCCCACAGAAGAGTTTATGAGTATTGAAGAGCCAGATTTACTAAGAGGTATCCTACTTAAATAAGCCTAAGGGAAATATTTACCTTTACATGTCGGAGATGCTGGGAACCATCCAAAGTAATAGCATTGAGAGGAGTCAGGTCCCACTCGTTTGTGACTTTTTGCACAGGAAAAAGTTACCACATCTCCATTATCATATTTAGCTTTCCGGGGGGAAACGTGGCCATGGGCCAATGTCAACATTTCACATTCTATGGCTAAAGACGATGGTGAGGAAAGGAAAGGAAATATATTATAGCAAATACTTCTAGGGGAAGTATTTAAAATACATAAGATTTGAACAAAATGGGTTGATCAAAAACCAGTTTTAAACCATGGAAAGGCACCCATTGATTTGGATCAGGGCTTTGGTTAGCACCAAGAACAAGAATCTTGCTGAAAAAACTAGGAATTTGTAAAAGAGTTAGAATTCCATCTAGGGCGGGGAAAGAAAAGAAGGCAAGCAGGAAAAAAACAAGCACAATAGGATATAATTGGGAGGAAAAACAAAGATGACATTTAATCAAATGAAGGGGTGACTTTCCATAATCTTTCCCCCACATTCTATTAATTTAAATATAAACATTTTTGCAAGTAATTTAGAAACTGGTAGTTTGATAGACACAGATCCTTATTCAGAAAAATCACACTTGGAGTACTCCAAATAATCAGTTAATGATGCTGGCCTTTCAACCTGGATTGTTATTTGTCATGACTTAAAATACAACTATTACTTGTTCAAAGTTTTCGTAAGATTTGTTTGTCTTTCATAGTACAATAATAATTCTGCAGTTTCCAGTGGTCTGATTACCTCTTATTTCCCAATGGTTCCATTACTTTTGAATTTAATCTGTACCCCGTTCAAATCAGAGCTGCTCCATCCAGAATCTGGAACAGACAGGTGCAGCTAATGCCGAGCAGACCACGAAGCTCTCAATCCCAGTGGATCTGGATCTGTGCAGAGCAGAGATACCCCAGCCCCCGGCAACCCTCCTCAGACTTCCCTCAGAGCCTGACCCAGTGGGGACAGTCTTTATTGTCCGTATTGCAGTAGTGTCTGCGGTGCCCAGTCCAGACCGAGAACCCCACGGCACCAGATGCTGCACAAACAGCCAGTCCCTCCCTGTAGAGCTGACATATAAGTACAATATTTATATTCCACTGGATTTATTTTATTATTATATGGTAAAAATTAGAAAGTAAGCCATTTTTCAGTAATAGTGGACTTTTTATGTCTGATTTTGTAAGCAGGTGAAATTTGGAGGTTCGCAAGACAAATCCGACTCCTGAAAGATGTGCGGTAATTTGGAAAGGTTAAGATTACGAAGAACACACTTTTCTGGGGATTGCTGACTGAATGCAATGAACGATTCTTGACTGTCCCAGCAGACATGAACACTTCCCACCCAGTCATTATCCACAATGTAACCTGCACCTAAATCAGAGCTATTTAAATTAGTAATCAATATAGCAACTATGACAGTCAAAGGAATTCATTCTGCAGAGTAGTAATTTAATTAAAACAAAACAAAAACACCTTACCAAGACACTGGGGCTCAGGAGTCCATCCATTTATGCCACACACTGTATAACCTGTTGTGATTTTATTTACAGTTTGGTATCCATCCGCACATTCATATTCCAGTATTTCTTCAGGCAGAAACACCATTTGATTTGTGTGGAAATTAATATGCTCATAACGAGGCTTTTCACATGTTTCTGTAGAATTAGAGAAATGTAGTTATTTTTCTTAATTAGAAACTCTGGCATTCTAAAGCATCCTCATTATATCTACCTTTGTGAATTTGGGCCTCAGTATAGCAAAAAAATGAAAATTCTACACACAGTACCACACATTATATCTCTTTAAATTTTCTTTAGGAATACATGGTGGTGAAAGGAAAGTGTTCATAGATTTAGAAGGCAAGACCAGAAGAAAACATTTAGGCAATAAATATATACCTGCATTTTGCATGCTTGCTTCTTACATCATTCCCACTAATGTTTACCAGACATGTTTGTCTTTGAAAATCTACAGTGATAACAGTGACTCAAAGCTTTCCCTCGAGAGTCAACACTAATGCTCTTATAATTCAGAATATTTTCCTAATGTCTAGCATAAAAGTTTTCCTTCCTTGGATTCAGGCCATTGCCTTTTTCCTACCATTTGAGACTGTGAATATAATTCCCTTCTTTCAGTTGCTGCACTACATATTGTTACTGTGATTGTTACAGTTAGGTTGCAGTCATGATCCCTTGAATCATCTGTAAGGGCTAGATTCTGCTCCAGTGTAGGGAAGCCAGGGAACAGATTCTCTGGTCTGGTCCAGCTATGCTGAGCAAGGAACCTGATCAAGAGATAGAACAAACATGACTTCAAGCCAACCTTCTGCCTTCCAGAACCTCAGGTTGTTCCTCCTCTTCCAAGCTATTTTATGCTGGTTACCTGTGGCCCCAAAAGGTCATTTCAGCAGCCAGAAGAGCCAGGATATCCCAGTCACACCGTTTCCCTAGTCACACCTTTATACCTGGGGGGAATTCCAATCAGCCAACTATTTTTTTGGCTGTTTTCTGCAGTCAGAGCTACGCAAAGCAGATGGAACAGGAGGAGAATTGGCCCTTATACGTATAAAAAGGCAAAGGTGGGAAGCAACACAACAGTAAATACGGAGTTCTCACTGCATTCAATTATGAGTCCCTAATACTTAGCTCTATTTTATCCCATTTGAGGGTCTGGTCCTTGTTTACCAACCAAACTAATCCATGCGTTGGCACTGTCATGTCCACTGCCTTTATTTTCAAATCATAACATTCATGAACACTACAAAAGTCAGATATTTCCCTACTGATTTCCAAATGAGTCACAAATTGCAGGGAATCTCCTCCCTGTAGAAACATGAGAATTATTCTTGACTGGAAATATGGGAGGCTACTTAATAAAGAGCCATGCATCCAAAGGAAGGTTTATTCATTTATTGAGCCAATTTTGTAGACTATTTTGTGTGAAACACTCCAGTGTGCAAGAGCTATTGCAGGTGCTATCGTACGGGACACCACTTTGCAGAGCCAGAACTGCAAACAGCTTAAAGTTCATGTATTTCACAGACAGATAATCTAGACGGGATTTTCTAGGTCTTGGTAGCTATGCTGTTTATTTAATACTCTTCTCTGTGCGATGGAATGGACTTCATTTGAAGACAAATTATAAGCAAGTTCTTTTATGCACAAAGGTGTTCTTTGTATGTGGATACTAATAGGGTAAAAAGAGGAATAGCCAGGAAATAAGGCAGCCTGGAATAAAAGGAAGAGATGACCCCCAGTTGGACTGGGTTAATATTGGAGTTATTATCCCACAAAAGTGGGAGATTTAATTGTCCACTTTAATCATCATATTTCCTCTCATCTGGAGAGAAGGGACTCCTGAAACCAGAGGAAGATAACTAAGATACCTAAAGTGACAACAATTGGAAGAAAGTTTTTAAAATTTTGTGCTCTGATGCTTTTACATAAAATTTATGTCTTTATGATTTAAATACTGATCAGTCAATGGTAAGTTATTTTATTTATGATGGTAATACTTCCCCCAAATAATAGATTAATTTTGTCCAGTCATAGTAAGACATAACCCAAGGAGGCTCAGCCTTGTAAGTTTCCCCATATGAAGCTGAAGCTTCTCCCCATACCTGAACATGGTGCTCATCCTCTAGTCAGGAAAAAAGGAGCAATGTGACAAAGTAGAGAATTCTTCAATCATTAAATTACTCACTAATGCACTTTGGTAAAGGAGTCCATCCTCTTTGAAGGCACTGTGTCTTCCCCACCTCATTTCCTTCTGGAGTCGTGTAATCAATCCGACACCTATATGTTGCTTCCTCGTTTAAAGTAAATCTGTTCTTACTTTCAGAGAAATAACCATTCTGTATCTCAACTTTTTTGCATATTTCTAAAATAGAGAGAGTATGACATTATCTCAAGATAAATACTGTTAATTAACATGCTTTTCAGAGGTATAGAGTGACCACGAGAAGAGGTACACCTGAAATGAAATGGAGAAATGGAGGAATGCTATTTAAAATTTTTTTGAACAATAAGTTCCTTCATACTTTTGGACAGTGGGAGGGGAAGGTAAGAAATCAGAGTGTATATCAGTGTTTTTTATCTCTCACAATCATTCCTGATACTGATTTCTCAAAGCCAATCTAAAAGATGGTTGGACTGAAAATGGTCATTTTGATTCTGACACTGCCAGCTCTTATTTTGTGGGAAAAGTTCTCTCTTTTTATTGTATGTGCTGTATGTACAAGTAATTTGGTGAAGCAGCTTCATGGTTTAATGCACCTGACAATCATAAGGGGCTCATCAGTGAGAAAGACAGTGATAAAACATCACACAGACATTATCACTTAACCTACCTTCTTCAGAGACAGCCTCTTCCACTGCAATACTTCCACAGCTGTGATCAATAGAGAATTCATGCTAGACCCCCTCAGTTTAAAGGAGAGGGTGTTGATAGCCGGGCGTTATCCTGGAGGGGCATTCAATTTTGGAATTCACTCTCTCCCTGAATTTGCTGACCTCCAGGATACACTGCACAGCCCATCCACTTTCTTGGGCATTTGGGGAGAGTAGAGATAGGGAGGGAATGAGGCTTTGAGGCAGGATGTGTTTGTTTGAATTTTGTTATGGAGGTTGATGACTTGATTTTACACATAATATCTTAATTGATGTTCAAGCCCCCAGAGCTACCAGACAAACTGTGCAAGCCACTCCATGGAGGAAGGGGAGGCAGAGGGGCAAGGTGGTGCCATGGCTTTATCCCACTTTGCAACATCCAGAAGTGCTGACCAGGTATAGACAGAGGAACATGCTGCATTATCCCAAAAGATGGTATAATGCACACACAACTCATGCCTGGTAGAGAACTGGAGGAAAGATAGGATTTCCTGGAGCACAACTGCTCCCTGGATTACTTTGTCTCCACAGAAACGAGAAGTACCTGTGGCAACTTATGGACCAACAAATTTATTTGGGCATAAGCTTTTGTGGGCTAAAAGCCACTTCCTCAGATGCATGGAGTGGAAAATACAGTAGGAAGATATATATAGCAGTACATGAAAAGATGGGAGCTGCCTTACATCTGATGAAGTGGGTTTTAGCCCACGAAAGCTTATGCTCAAATAAATTTGTTAGTCTATAAGGTGCCACAAGTATTCCTCGTCATTTTTGCTGATACAGACTAACATGGCTAACACTCTGAAATTTGCCTCCACACTATCCCCAAACACAGACCAGACCAGTGGCTAAATGTCACAATTTATAAATATTAGATGGAGCTAATAGTAACATCTTTTATTAAATTTGCCCGATTCTCTGTATGATAAAATCCCATTTATAATTGCTTGTAACTTTGTTACATGGTTTTTAACCATTTGGATTGAAATTTTCCATGTCTGGTGTCTGCCTCAGCATCATTTTTTGTTTTTGTTTTGAAAAGTTGAATCTGAAACGGTTTCGCTGTTTTGGAGACTGATGTTTGAGTAAAATATTCTTTTTTGTCAATGTTAAGTTATTGTTAGAGCTGTTTTGTTGAGAACCTCTAGCACTTCCATGGTTTGTAGCAGGGACTCAACATTTTGCTGTGGTGTCCACTTGGTGTCAAAGATTTACCTTTTGCTGTTCTCAAAAAAATGCACCCAAATTTGGCCGTGTTATAAATCTATGAAAGTCACAGTTTGTACAGGTTTGGAGCTTGATTACACTGGTCTACAATTTTTGAGACGTTGTCTGCTTCAGAGATAAAATGTGCTATTTATTATGTATTTTGATGTGCTGAATTCAAATATGACAATTAAAACAACTGATTGGCTACTGTTTCTAAGATATTTAAGTTTTTAC